TGGTGCAATTAAAAAAATGACATTTTTAAAACTCTTAATTTGCCAGTGTTAAAGTGGTCTTTTTAAAAGAATATTATAAAGTTGCACCTTAACAGCCGTGCTTGTTTTCCAGTACACTGAGAAAAATGTGAATACAGTTTCCCATTTGCTTCTCTTTTACACAAAATATACCATTTTACAGACAAAAGTAGTGTGTGGTAATAGAAATCAGAACATAGTGGTGGCTTCTAGGGAGGCAGTGACTGGCAAGAGGCACCAGGAAGCTTGAGGGGTGTCAGATGTGTGGTTAGCTGGGGTGTGAGTTACATGATCTATTATGCACTTGTTAAAATGCACCCAACTTTAAGATCTGTGCATTCCACTGTAAATTTTACCTCAATTTTTCAAACAATACAGTATTTGCAGGTCCTTGAATCTATCACTTAATCTTTGAAAAGACAGCACAATTCCTTGATTATCAGAGTTATCAGAGGTTGTCTGAGTACCAAATTTGCTAAGTACTTATCTTGTCCAATAATTAATACTATCAGTACTAATTCAGTCCATCCAGGGTATCACTGATAGAATCATCTAGTCCGATACCCATCATCAACTCAGGTTGGAATTTCTTTTCAAATACGTATCACAGTCTTTGGCATTTTTGAAAGCAAGAGCTCAATGTAAAAGGTGGGCTTTGGAGTTACAGAAAGCTAGGATTAGTTCGAGCCCTACCTCGGTAACCTTGGCAAATACTTAATCCCTCCTTTCCCCCACCATAAAAGGTATATAATAGGTGTACTGACGTGTGGTGATTAAGTGAAATATACAGAAGGCAACTGGCTCTGCATAAATCTTTCAGACACACAGTCTCCCTAGAAATCCACCCTTGGAATTGAGAGGACCTAAATCCAGGTACAAGTGGCTGGATCAATGTGCTTGATACTTTGTAAATAACAGCCGTATTGAGATACTTGATCATTTCTGTCTTAATTAGAATTCTTGCCAAACTGTGTTTGTCTTTATTGCACACTTAAGGGTATAATCTTTTCTAAATGAAGGCAGCATAGGCATGAAGGGAAAAAAAAAAACACCTCTCAAAAAGAACAGTGATATGGTCTTGTCGGGATTAACTAAAACAAGCTGCTGTCAAGGTATCTTTAATTCTCTTTCTGGGTCAGTGACTGGTCTAGAAATTTTGTGCAAATTGTGTAAAATGTATTCGCAATCTCGACAGTGTCCTTTATACACATGGAGAGATTTTTATTTGCTCTGAGAGGAAAGCTGTAACTGACTCATGATTATCAGGACTCAAGGAAGAAGGCAAATGACCCAATTTTCACACTATAATAACAAGATCTTACATGTGTGTTAACCCGATTTCTGGAGAGCTTCCCACATCATGGATATGCCCCATGTCATGGAATTTGGTAAGACACAGAATCTCAGGCTGAGTCCTGGCAAGTCTCGTTGAGAAACCTCTTGGGCATATGGTAAGGGACAGATTGAAGTTTGTGAGTCAATTCACGACACATCATAATCCAAAAATCATTCAAGTATTCAGCTAATACTTAACTAGGAACCTGCCATGTACAATCACTGATCTAGGCCAGAAAAGATTTAAAAGATTCAGTTATGTGAGTGTTTGAGCTTGAAAGAAACCCAATTCCTCTATTTTCTTATGGCTTCAAGACAAAATAGAGTCTTGTAAACAGGATAATTACTATTTCGGAGTTTAGAAAGAGTCGTATACTGGAAACAGATTTTTCTAAAGCAGGTTGGAATGAGCAAAGTATGATTCTGATAATTGGGGTGGAGATGGAAAAGTGAATGGGAAAGAGTTAAGAAAGGGAAGCCTGCACAGTCAAAGGAAGTATGCCCCAGGAATAGGAAGGCGCACCCCTCATGCTGTTCCTCTAACCCAACAGCCTTCCACTCACTGACAACCTCTTGGTCCTTGTGAGCCTAGTTTACGAGGCTCTTCCTCTCCCACGAGAACTAAAGGCTCCTCCTTCTGTCATGCACAGCACGGTACCTGTACCTTTTCCATGACACGTACTTCATTCCATCTTGAATGAAGGTTGTTTACATGTCTATTTCCCTAACTCGGCCACCCTTGTAAAGGCAGAGACTATCTTATTCATTTTGCTTCCACCCCCCACTGGTGGCTCACGCAGTTCCTCACACAGTGAATATGGATTTTTAACAAAAAATTTTTTTATTGAATTGAATGAGAGATAAAGTAGGATAAATGGAGCCAGGTTATAAATAGGTATATACATGAGAGTTCATTCATTCACTTACTATTTATTGAATGCTTACTGTGTGCCAGGTTCTGTTCTGAGCTCTGAGGATATAGCCACAAACACACCAGACAAAAAGTCTCTCCCCTGTGGAGCTCACACTCTAGATCTGTCTTGATAAGGGATTGGCTTAGCGATAAATTCACATCAATTCAACCGTAACTAATGGCCAAAAAGCAAAAACAAGACACACATTTAAACAGTTTAATTACTGGTGTTATAAATGTCTACTGTTGCTATGTAGTTTTTATGGTCTATTGTACTTACTGTTTTCATACCCAGGTAACACTCTACAGGGATTCTAATTTTAAGACTATACAAAGAACTTCACTGGCAATTTAAGAGAGTTTCAGGGATCATTTTGAGCATGCCTGATTTCATTCTGAGGCACAGTCTTTAAAAATCTAACCGGCTTATGAGGCGCAACTCTACTGTACCAAAATGAAAATGCTGATATTGCTGGGCGGAGCATGAGAATGGCCACCTGACGAATCCATGTCTGGTCAGGCGAGTCTGGTTATAGGGAACCAATATTTGGAGAGATGGTACATTCACGTGAATGCACAAGGTCAGTCAACAGTGAAATTCACATCATGAATTAAAAAAAAAGTTCATGAGCCATTTCCCATTCTTTTAAAGAACTAAAACAGTTAAGATCTTGAGGTCAAAATTAAAGAAAAAAATTGTAACGTACTGGCTTATTCTGATTAAAGGTTTATCATTTTCATATGTTTTTCAAAGAGTATTTTAAAAAGAACACCAAGTTAAGAAAAATCATTTACAAGTTTTCCAGTAATTTTACTCTATATACATTAATTCCAATCATTTAACCCTGAAAACAAGCTTCACTTGTACAATGTAAAAAAATTTTTGACAGTGACTAGAAAAATTCCATTATTGAAAAGCTACAAATTTATGCTCCTAAGAGCAAAGTTACTAAAGCAAAAATAATAAGTATACCAGTGATAAGCACCAAGATGAATTTTTTTTTTTTTGCATTTAGGGCCTGATTGGTTGTATTTAAACATAACCTCGACCAACAGAGGACCAAAATAACATCTTATTTGGCAACAAAAAAAAGGGGGAGATGGAAGGGATCAAAAATACACATACAGAAATCTAGAAACCGTGAAGAATGCCCACTTTAACAGTAAAATCAATCATACCTGTTTTCTAATTAATGTGACACTTGCAAAATATATTCATGTCACTTCTCTTCCTCTTAGTTCACTTTGTACAATTTAGACTGCTCCGTTTTTGTTAATGTGTTGCCACACAAATGTAAATAAATATGTTGAACTGTGGGAGTTTGCTGTGATGAATCCAAATTGTAAGAGCCAGACCCAATAGCTCAAACAATCTTAGTTGCAATTCACTCCAACTGCTGAAACAGACTATTATTTACCTTTGTAATTTCTGAGAAACCTTAGCGGGAGGAGACATCATGTGTGTAAGTGTGTGTAAGTGTGCATAGGAACATGCGTGTACAAGAGTGCCAGGGAGTGTGAGTATGCCCCAGACACAGTAGCGCCACACAAACAAGTTCACACTGACCTGAAAGACATGGGCAGCCAGACACTGAGTTCCCCTGAAACACACCGGAGGGTGAGCAGTGAGGAAATGAGGGAAAATCTGTCATCAGAGGACAGAATGAGCGGCACGTTGGGAAAATGGTCATTCCCATAAAGCTGGAGGATGCGAAGTGGCAACAGCCACTTCTGTGGGCAGGGATCAGATGGGGTCTGGCTGCAGTGGGATGATCCCTGCAACTCCCCAAAGGGCATTCGTGGTGGCCTCTGCAGGGGCCCTCCACCTCACTCAGTGACGTCTTAGGGATCCCAGAGCATGAGCCTGGGTCTCCCCGCCTGCTGGTCACAATAGGTCTCTCAGTGCAGACACTATCCCTTCTGGAGGCTTGGCCAAAAACCGTCCCTACTTCCCACTTTTGACATAGTCTCAGAAGGGGGTCTCCCTGTGTCCCTGAGGGATCCCTGAGTTTGAGGTAATGCCAACACACCGTACACTGTCTAGCAGTGACACGTGAAGTCCGGCGGTGCGTTTTAGAACTCAAGCAATCTAGTAGCCAGTTTCTGTTATCGCGGTAATACTTTCTAGTGAGATAAATTTCTCTACGCAACTTCTAATATATGGAGTAAAGAAAAAAAATACTGCTGGGAAATGAAAGATTTTTTAAAGTTCAGTGTTGAAACTCCTTAAGAGAAGGAAAAGGAGACCGATTACGGGTCCATTTTCTACGTTCCTGTCCTTGGCTTTCCAGGTCAAAGAGCAACAAGGTTCCTGTTAAGCTACTTAAAGGTTCTCCCGGCCCCTCCACCCACACAATCCTAGGGAATTCCGGAGCCCTCTAAGTTCCAAATTCGTAATCATATCTCTGGGCGTGTCTATACATCTCATTAATTCAGTTTCAAAATCTACTGCATTTTTAAAACAAAATGACATAGTTGCATTCTTTAAATGCCAGCTATGAAATCATTTCTTGGGGAAAAAAACCTAGTCAGACTATATATACGTAAGTCAAATACAATTCTCTCCTTTTTTCAGGTGTCTGCTGAAGACAAGCTTCTAAAGAAAAGCCCTCACTCAGAAGAAGCCTCGCGTGGCGATCCGTGGTTTCAGGTTCCGCTCCCGTGCTGCCAGGTCCTACACTGCACTGTACGTAGGACTTGCTCCATGACCCTCTCCCATAACGGGCACACTCGATACAGAGAAAAACTTTGTTTATAATTCGGGGAATTTTAGTCACACCAGAAAAATGATCTAACCTGTCCAAACACGCAACGTCTTCCCCCATTCTTCCCTTCTTTAAAAACTTCCCTTTTTTAAAAAATCAGATTTGAGGATCACGTTAAAATTCACCATAGAAGGTTCTATACAGCTGTAGCATGATTTCAAACTCACTGTGGCATTCAGTTTTCTGTATTTTCCTATATTTATCCTAAGTAAACTTCCGGGACCATAATATTTGGGAGAAATTAGAAGGGTATTCTATTATGGTGTAAAGTTCCAGAAATTCTCAGTTCATCAAGGTTTACTCTGAGCTGAATGTCATACAACCTCTACATGATACAAGTATATGGACAAGAAGTATTTTAAATACAAAACCCTTAGCTCTGTGTCATAAATAAATTTGGATAAAACCGCAAGCCTTCCACTGAATCATCTCGGCAAAGGTGGCCCATCTTCTCTGCGAGCAGCAACCTAGGAATCAAGGGAAAAACCACAATCATCTGTCCATTCAGAAACACAAACAGAGTTGTAAGGAAGAGCAAGGACTCGCTTACCTTTCCTTAGCCAGGAGGACAGACATTCCCACCAGCTTAGCAAACTCTTCTGATGTTAGGGATCCCTTTTCTGAAACCTAACAGAAACACAGCAGAAAAAAAAAAGTGATAACTTGGCCACCTAGGTACTAACCTAGGGAGAACGTCTACCATTATACTCAGGAAATAATATTCTGAATTGCCTAATAAAACTCAAAGAATATTCAATATAGATCTAAATTTTCTTCACTAATGCTCAATTCTACAAATGTGGAAGAACCCAGAACAAATACAGCAGAGCCTAAGACATCATGAAGCCCTCTAGAAAGTTACAAAGGCACTGCACTAAACCCCAAAAATAACTCTTGATATTCTGAAAAGGAACATATAACAAATTCTAGTGGAGTGCATACTGCATGTTCCAGGAAAGGAGCTTACAATACATGGTAAAAATATCCTATAGTCTTGAGGTTTTCATCTGGTTTAAAATAAATGTAATGAATTTGAGTTATTTAAATTAAACAGGCTCACCACAGAGGCCATGAAGGCAGTAATATTTCAAGTCTCCTAATGAGTAATAGCAGCAGTTTGGCCAGTAAGATCCATCTAAACTACAGTTGCTTTTAATATTTTTTGAAGCAATTATTTCATAAAACAACCTGTGATGTTTTACAATACTGTTTATAACACTGTTTACGTATGTGGTACTAGAAGAAAAAGTTCAATCAAGGGTAAATTCTGATGAACAAAGCTAAAAACCTGTCCACAAGACTGAGCTTCGAACAAAAAGATAACACCTCACTAATTCTAATTCTCCTTGGCAAGCTTCAAAAAGCTTTAAAAGTATCATTTTGATTAGTATTCATTCACTGTTAATAATAGGTGTTTTTAATTGGGTCTACAAACATTACTTTTTAGAAAAATTAAATTCAAAAGGAAATCCTGTTTCTCAAGTTGCTAAGGATTCAGGTCTTGGTGGGCAGACTAATGAGGAAACTGGGTTCACATACTGTCTCCAAGGCTGAGGCCACCATTTCCTCTTCCTTGTGGGACTGAAGCTCAATCACCATGACGCCACTGTCAAAAACTCGGAGCCTAAAAACCGCAGATGGGAAAACCAAGCTGTGAATATCTAGGATCTTCAACCACTAAGGAGGTGCAAATATCCTGTACTTTCTTCTATGCCCGGGCATGCAGGCAGTATTAACACAAAACAGCATCTAAAATGTAACAACCACAGGCAATTATAGCATAACTGAGAAGCTCATGAATAAATACAGTTAATAACATTATGAACTGGAATCCACAGGCTAAACAAAATATGTCTGGCACTTTTGTTTTTTTAATCTGAAGGGAGGAAAATATAATTCACAACTGAACATCTGTAGTTTTAAATCTCCAGAAACGAGCCCAGGATGTCTAGCAGAGGGGCTGGGTATTCTGACCTCATAGGGGAGCCCGCATTCTTATTTCACTGCCCCCAAAGCAACAAGCGTTGGCCCACTCGCCCCTCAGGCCATGTACATACAGCTCCGATAAGGAGGGAAGCTGGAGGACAGGTGAATTGTGGGCACGTGGGAGATGCCCAGAGGGGCAAGGGGCTGGCTCACCACGCACAGACCTGTGCGGGCAGACCCGGCAGGGTTTTCCTGTCTACTGTGTGAGGAGCGGTGGCTGGACTTGGCAAGCTTCCTGCAGAGGTTCTTTTACCTGAGTGGTAACTGTAGTGCTTCCAGCATCTTGCATGCATTCACTAAATCTTCAGGTGAGAGCAACTAAGAGGAAAAGAAACCCGGTTTATACTACAGATTAATAGAGTGGTGCTACAGATTAATAGAGTTCAAGGCCCATGGTGGGTGTGGAGTCTATTTTTTTTCTCCATTTAAAATAAATAAATAAATAATCACTTATCAAGGATTTTACGTGGCTTAATCGCCATAAGGCAAAAAGGATTAACAAAGGAGCAAAGCAGTGCTATCCGATAGAAAGCAATGCAAGCCGTATATGTAATTCTAAGTGTTCTAGTAGTCATATTAATAAAGTAAAAAGAAACAGGTGAAATTTATTTCAATACATGTATTTTATTTGAGCCAATAAATCTAAAACATGAACATATAATCAATATAAAAATTATTAATGAGATACTTAACATTTCTTTCTCCTCTACTGAGTCTTCTAAATCTGGGGTGTAATTTACACTTACAGCACATCTCAGTTTGGATTAACTGTATTTCAAGTTCAAAGTCGTCACATGTAGCTGGCTGGCGGCCACCCTTCCAGACTCACGCAACCTTAAAGAATCAGCCCGCCTTGGTGGTTGGCATGTACAGCTTTGAGTCACAGGCCCAGTCTGGGCCCAAATGCCTGTCAAACCTGTGTTTCTAGATGCAGCCTTGGTCAAATCATTTAATTTCTGGAAGCCTCAAGCTCCTCATCCTCATATTATCCCCAAGATGGGGACAGCAAAGACGCTGCCTCACTGAGGTCCTGGGACGATAAATGAGGTAATGTGTGCAGAGTGCTTGGGTAGCCAAATTAAAACAGAGCAGAGGCTTCCCTCGTGGACCTGGGACTGCTGGGGGTGGGTGCCTGAGAGATGTAGGAGTTCTCCGCACAGAGGTGACTGCTGACACCACAAAACCGTTTGACTGAAGGGCATGAAGAGCACACGGACCCCACACCCGTGGGCGTGAAGGGGCGATGAGAGTTGAAGAGCAGCCGCGGCTGACTCAGGGCCGAAGGCAGAGGGCAGCTTTCCCTCTGTTTCTCTACAGGCAACCTGAACCCACCCAGCTTAGTCCAGACTGTCACAGGGAGAAGGCATCATTCATGACCTTGCTAATCACAATACAAACACAGAATATTAAAGCCAGAAGGTATCTATCAGTCCAAATCCTTGTTTTAGAGGTAGGAAAACCGAGTCTCAGTGAAGTCAAGTAAGCTGCTCAAGGTCACTCAGCACGCCACTGGCAAAACCAGGAGAAGCATGTACCTCCTAGATCCCCAGGGCAGGACAGCATTCTTGTCACTGCACTGTGCTGCTTCTCAGATGGTTTTGATATTCTCAACCCTTCCTCAAATTGTAATCACTGTAGGGGAACTTGTATTATATTAAGAAAGTCTATATTTAGTTAAAAGAATATCTACATGTTCTATTCTTACCTCCATTCCACGAGCTCGGTTTACTAAACAGTACACCTCTGTAAGTGACATGATTCCCCCTCGTTCCTGTTAACATATGAAATTTAAAAAGTATTATAATTCACACAGGTTAGCATTTCTTAACAGAAATCATAAGCAGAGTGAAATCAAGATTCATAAAATTCCCCAAGAGGCGTTTTAAAAACTAAATTCGCACACAGGAAAACCTAGTCAGATACCATTACCCATTTCAAATTCAGTATTTGGACTTTAGCATCATTATTAGTGTTTCAACATTTACATAAATGAAAAGAGGGCCTCTACATCAAGTTTCAAAAAGTATATTTAAATGTTTTGAATTATTACAAGTGAAAAAATTATAGAATTAAATGGGAATATCACCATTGTAATCCTTAATGAAGTAACAGATCTAGACAGTGACTGTTAGTGGCTGCTAACATCACAGAAAAAAAGACAAACAGAGATTCCGTACCTCCTAATGGAAATGCACAGCACCCTCTATGAAATATCTAGCAGGAAAAAAAAAAGAACTTCTAGATATAACTACCAAGTCTACAGGGAATATATAAGGCGGGGAAGGATGTTAACATACAAGTCAGCCAGATCCAGACTCTAAGACACTCTATAAGAAAAATCATTCATTTCTTCAATAAATATATTTTATGGGAGAGAAAAAAAGAGAAGGGGAAATCCAAGGAATTAAAAAAAACAACAACAACAGAAAACCACCCGGGAGGCAAATCAACCAACTAAAATGTATCCTAATTTGACAAACTAACTATAAGAAAAAATGTGAACAGTAAGAAGATATTTGATTACGTTGAAAATAATTTTTAATTCTTAATTTGTGAAATGGGATTATAATTATATTAAAGGCATCTTTATCATTGTAATTACATACTGAAAACTTCACAGATAAAATGATGTGATGTCTGGGATTTGCTTTAAAATAAGATTTTTAAAATGTTCATTTGTTTATTTGAGAGCACATGTGCATGGGCCCGTGAGTAAGGGAGGGGCAGAGAAGGAGAGAGACAATCACAAGTAGGCTCTGCACTGTCAGTGTGGAGCCCTACACGGGGCTCAAACTCCCCAACTGTGAGATCATGACCTGAGCTGAAATCAAGACTCAGGACACTTAGCTGGCTGAACCAACCAGGCGCCCCTGCTTTAAAATAATTTCGAGTGGACACTGTTTACAGATAAACATAGATGATGGGTATGCAGGGATTCATTATATTATTCTCATTTTGTCATGTTGGAAATACTTCTTAATATGAGTGCTTTAATAAGTAAAAGTTGGATTGCCTGACTCATGTTAGAAGATATATCTGTATTCTGAAATTATTAACAGTACACTGTATGTTCCGACTAGATATATAGAAATATATGGAAACATGCAGAGATCATGTTTCCTTTTGAAAATAAGAGATAAGAAAAACTTCGTATCAAATGGGTTTAGGAAGTTACAGATTATCTGAAGTGGAAACTGAAAATAATTTGCATTTTGACAAAAAAACCACTAATTTAATATTCCTGAACAACAAAAAAAATACCATCTTGGTTGAATAGTAACCATACAATGAAAGAAGTTAAAAATTTCTGACCATATGGATATAATTTAACACAACCGAAAGAGACCACTCAGGTTTTGTGTTACCTCCAGCGGCGCCTGCAGTATCCCAGCCAGCTGTCTGGCCAGCTGCATGTGGTACTGTGTGCCCGAGCCGCACGTCTCCCTGGTGACCGGGTTAGCTATCCCCATGCTCAGCAAGTAGGATTTAAACCTGATGGTCTATAATAAGAGGAGAAAATGTACAAAAAGACTAATAAGAAAAAAAAAAAGACTAATAAGCAGGATTAGTCTTCCCATCCCAACATTTGAAATCTTTCTATCGTAAATTCAATCCTACTCAATTATATCTGTATCTACCCATTTCTTCTACTGTGTTTTGATAGTGTGGATTCTAAGAAAGTGGATTTCTAGTAGCTCCCTGCGTGAAATGAATTCTTCTTCTTTCTCCCATCTTGACATCTCCTACTCCACTGAACTCACAAGTTTGGTGTGAGAAGAGGCTAGGGAACAACTATGCTATATTTAATGCCAACCAAATGATAGAGCCAAAAACTTAGAAAGGGCAATGGCTGTGATCAGATTGTTCTGAAATTTACTGAAACAAACATCCAACTTATGGATATGTATAAAACCCTACTCCTTCCACATTTTAATTGTTCTCTTTTCCACACTCCAAAAGAAAGTACTGAAGTATCCTTTAATCCTACTATAATCAACAAAGTTTTTATGGTTGACTTTTTCTTTAGCACTTTCATATATTTGCAAGTCCTAAAAGAAAACTATATTAAGAAAGAAACTGCTAAACCACTGAAACATCACTGTGTTATTTCTGTAACCTGGTATCTAATGCCTTAAAAAGCAACCAATTTACCTCATCTTCTGTGATGTCACCTTGCTTGTCTTTAATCTTATTAGCAATTGATTTTGATAATTCCACCATTTCCTTAGCCTGTGAAGAGAACAGTAAAAGATTGGAAAAAAAAAAAAAGTCCCCAAAGTGTCTGCTAACAAAACAATTTCAAAAATTGTATCAAAATTGGTAAGAATTTAATAGGTATAAATTACATATACCTTGACCATTAACTTGCTGAGGTCTTCAAAGGCCTGAAATGAGAAATGAGTTTTTGTTGGAATATAAAGAATCAAGATGTTTTAAAGCAATGGAGCACTCTATTTTCTTCCCTTTGACCAAAATTTATGAAAACTTCTTACAAATATCAATTTATAGAAATATTTATATAATAAGCCTATCTTATTCTAAGGATTCAGTTTAGCTAAGAAACTGTAAATTCTTCAAAACAAACTGCAAAAAATAGCCTTTCAAATTTTCAAAGAAAAATGTTATTACTGATTAAAAACACAAAAGGTGACATAAGTACTAAATCGTTCAGAAAGTATTATTTACTGTGCTTTCCCATAAGAGAATTTGTCACTGGTTTTTGCCAAAACCATTTCCTGACAGGAGGGCCAGAATCAAGGGCATTGTAAAGCTTTCCTAGTTGAAAATGGCAGTGCACAGCTGCCAGAATACTTCTGTAGGCACAACAATTTTGGCTTTAATAGCAGGTGTGATTTAACTGAAACTCAGCCTCTAAATACTGAAGAGTTTATACTTGTAGCTTTGGATGTAGTGGGTATCACAAAAGAAAAACAGCCAAATACCACCAAAATACACCTAAATAAAACCCATCAATTGTCCGATTTACTACAATGACTATCCACTTCAAAGGCCTCTTCAAACTTTAATCAGACATTTTTATAGTAAATTTATTTCGTATCGCCAAAAATACACTTCCAATGAAGAACATCTGCCAACTGATGTGCACAGATGTTATTTTTGAGCCAATTAAGCAACTTCTCATTAACTGAAGAATCTTTTGGTTCATACAGAATAATGGTCAACAGATTCTGATTAGCCCACGCCCATCTTAATTACATGCAGAAAAGCATCCCCCATCTGCAAAAAGGGTTTTACTGAAAGAATAGAGTGTTGTGTAAGATTCTTATGGCCAGACTTGCTAAGGCTAATACTGAAAACAAAGGGGAATGTGCACACACCTAACAGGAATTTCCTCAGATAAACAAAAGGCTTAAACTTTGGATTCTTATCAGCAACAACCAGCAGATGCAGGAAACCTTTTGTGGGAAACTCTGGGCACCAGCTCTGAAACTAAGTTAACGCTAACATTCAAATGGAGGGCAAATCACACCCCAGCGTAGTTTTCAAAAATAAAACATCACAAACACTTTACACACTTCGAGTTTTACTTTCAATATACAAAATAATAGATTTCCTAGAGCTGGAGAGGGAACACTAATAAGGCAACATCTTTAAAAAATTTTTATACGATAAATCACTTTATTTACTAGGTTACATTTTCATGGAAAAAATGTGTTAAAAGTAATAGTGAGTCCACACAGGATACATAAATTAGCCCTCTTGCTTACAGTCCGTAAAAGATAAATACAAATATTTTAGTGTCTTAGAAGAATTATCTATATTTTAAGTAATCGTAAAACACAAATGAAATTTTCCTCACTTCTATCTATATTATTATTTTAAAATTAAAGGAATTAGCCAATTATCCAAAAAATAGGCAGAAAAACTACCTACAAGAAAATTAAAGCAACAAAAATAGGCAGAAAAACTACCTACAAGAAAATTAAAGCAATGTACAAATGCAAAACAGATGCATTTGCCCTTTCTGTTATTTTATCCATCAGTTTATAGAACTTTCTATCCTCTACCAAGTCCACAAATTTCCACTCCAATGAAAAATAAAATGGCATCTGCTTTAAAAGTACCCTCCTATGCTGATTTATAGCATTATTTCTTGTTTTCAGTCAGTACTTTGGTTAGTAGCTTTAGTGACTATTATTATATTCTTGAATATTCTGTTTCAGTTTCCTTGATTTTGCACCTTTACATACTCTGTTCCCTCTACCTGGATCCTCTTATCTCCGCTAGTCCTCTGTTAGTGCCTGCTAAACTTTCAGGCCTTGGCTTCCGTTACTTTTGCTAACACGACGTCCCTGAACCCCAGAGATGTCAGAGGCCATATGACGTGTTCCTGCTGCAACCACCATTTTCTCTAACACAGCATTTCTCCCTCTGTAGAGCATGCCTGTTTGCTTGCCTGTCTGGTGCATCATCACAGTATCTAAAACCTCAATCTGATGCAGGGCTTGCACAAAGTGGAGAGCAAGGACCACCTGCTGAATAAATCAGTGACCTGCAATGAGAGAGCACAATGATGGGACTGAATCCTTTGAGCTATGCAACTCCGTGAAAATTAGATTGAATCACAATAGTGTTTCATAAATTAAGAAAAACATTATTTTGGGTTTTTAAGTTAAAAAATATTTTTAAGTTTATTTATTTAGAGAGAGACATAATGAACAGGTGACGGACAGAGAGAGAGAATCCCAAGCAAGCTCTGCGCTGTCAGCACAGAGCCTGATATAGGGCTTGAACTCATGAAACCGTGAGACCGTGACCTGAACCGAAGTCTGATGCTTAACGGACTGAGCCACCCAGGCGCTCCAAAAAAACAAAACAAAACAAAACAAAACATTATTTTGAACACCAAATTAGTATGGCACCATTCAGAAAAATATTAATTCAAAATTAGTTCACTGCTCCATGCCATCTCTAAAAGTATCACACAAAAGGATGACAATAAATGTCACTGAAAGAGGGCAGTGATAGCACCTTCTGAATGACAGAGAGAGTGGCCATGATATAGTAGACTATGCTGGTCTGCAAATCAGAAGACCGAGTGCTCATAACCCTGGTTCCGAATCTAGTCACTAACTCTGAGACGATTACTTCTCTGGATAGTAAAAACCCCTTTAGTGCCAAAATGCTGGAATTTTATGAATTTATTTTATTTTTATTTTTTTAAAAAAATTTTTAATGTTTTATTTATTTCTAGGAGAGAGAGAGACATTGTGAGCAGGGGAGGGTCAGAGAGAGAGGAAGTGACAGACTCTGAAACAGGCTCCAGGCTCTGAGCTGTCAGTCAGCACAGAGCCCGACGCGGGGCTCGAACCCACGAACCGCGAGATCATGACCCAAGCGAAAGTTGGACGCTTAACTGACTAAGCCACCCAGGCGTCCCTAGAAGATGTTATTTCAACATGAGCTAGAAGATGTTAATAAAATGACACAAGCCATGAGTCGACAAAATAAATCACAAATGAGGCAACAGGGTTCATGAAAAAATTTTTAAAAAATCATTTCAGAAATAATGACCACATCAGACAGAATGCAAAAGTGAATAAACACAGCAGACAGCAAGTATCTTAAGAGAAACAACAGGTTAAAAAGAGGAAAATTTTCTAAATGAAACAAATGAAAGCGATAAGGGTTTGAAAGAAAGTCGCAAGCAGTAAAGTTAGGCAGTAGCTATGACATAGAGCTAACAGGACTCTCAGAGGAAAAAAAAAATCAAAACAACTATTAAAAATTACAAAACTGGAAAAAAAAAAAACCCCTGAAATTAAAAGAAACAATTTCTGGAACCAAATCCTGAAAGCATACTGTTAACAAACCAGAATGACTAACACATCAACACATTCTGCTAAAATTACTGGGCTTTATTTAAAAAAGGGCAGGGGGAGACTTTGGGCATTTACGATAAATACTGACTTTAAGGTGACGAAGAATTAGATTAGCCTCAGTCTTTGACAGCAACACTTCATGCCAGACACAAAACTGAAAGTAACTGATTAAAGGCACTCAAGGATGGGGCGCCTGGGTGGCTCAGTCGGCTGAACGTCCGACTTCGGCTCAGGTCATGATCTCACGGTTCGTGGGTTCGAGTCCCGCGTTGGGCTCTGTGCTGACAGCTCAGAGCCTGGAGCCTGCTTCAGATTCTGTGTCTCCCTCTCTCTCTGACCCTCCCCTGCTTCATGCTGTCTCTCTCTCTCAGAAATAAATAAAACATTAAAAAAATTTTTTTTTAAATAAAGGCATTCAAGGAAAGAACACGCGAGCCAAGGATTTTAACTTCATGTATGAGGAACACAAACATGCCAGAACTCAGGGAATACTGTTCCATGAGCACTTTCTGAAAAATCTGAGGCCAACATCAGAACTGGTGGTGTCAGTTGCCTGTAAAACTGGGGCCCACTGAGAGCTGGAAGGGAGAGAGTACACCTAGTGAGTGGCTCGAACTTCAGATATTGCCTATCGACTTTTAAAATTGGGAATAACGGGGAGTTCACATAGACACACACACACACACACACACACACACACACATACAATCTTTTTAACTGTTTTAGTCATTATTTGGTAGGGAATATCAGTATGACCTCATGAGGCACTTGTACTCAAAAAAAACCCATCCAAACAAACAAACAAACAAACAAACAAGAAACCTAGCTCTTTAGACTATAAAGGCCTACAAATAAAGATCAGCGCAGCAGACATAGAGTCCTAGCAGGCAGACTGCAGTTTTAAAATACAATTTACCACTAAAACAAAACAAACAGAGCTTCTCAGGTAATGACTGACTACAGATCTTGGGCAGGAAACATACAAGATGGTCTGGAACTTTGTCATGTTGAACAGTAGGGAAGCTATTAGGGTCCACCCGTCACATCAGAAATACTCAGGAGCCAACTCGAAGAGGCTCCCACTGGCCAAAAATGGGATAATGTGGGCTTTAAACGTGATAATAATTGCAATTGATTGAAACCCATCAAATATGTTATAATTTGTGAATTCACAATAATACGTAAAAAATTCTAATGAGTTGCCATTGGAAGATGAGGAACTAATTTATTATGCTGATGACAAAGAAAAAGTCACTTATCTTGCCTTGTACGAACTGTAACACTGAGTAGTCAGATAGATGAAGGGAAGCATCTCTTCAAAAAGTATTCCAACTAAAAAATAAAAAATAAATCCTAGAACACTGCCATTTGTCACCACCAATGAACCGAAAGATCAATGCACTGCACAGGAACAGCTGCCGACATCATCAACAGAGACATGATGTGCCTCCTGAGGGAAGAATACAGTATGATCGCTAGTTTCACCAAAGGGATCAAACAGAAGTCTGATCAAGCTTCTGATCCAGCTGCCAATTCTCGGGAAATACAGAGCCGAGGAACATATACAACGTTACCATAAATGTGAGATCACCAAACCTAGACCATGGGCACTTAATAGGCCAAATGACCTTGGTTTCTCAATGATAATCTCTATTTTCAACTTAGTGGGCCCAGAATTGGTACTATGATGGTTCATTTTAGGTGTTGACTTGATCAGATCACGAGGTTCCCAGGTTTTTGATCAAACCTGGGATCAAACCTGGGATTGATGTGTCTGTGAGGGTTTTTCCGCATGAGGTTCTGAAATGGTAGACTGAAGCCCACAACTGCCCTCCTCAATGTGTGCGGCTATCACCCAATCCACAGAGGGCCTGAAGGAGTTTGAAAGGAGAACTCACACTTTCTTAAGCCTGACTGCTTAAGCCAAGAGAGCAGTCCTACCCTGCCCTTGGACTGGACCTAAACCATCAGTGCTCCTGGTTTGCAGGCCTTCAGACTCAGATTAGAATTTATATCACTAACTTTCCTGGATCACCAGCTTGCAGGTGGCAGATTGTGGGGTTTTTCAATCCCCACAATCAAATGAGCAATTTCTTACGTTAAATGTCCTTGGGGGCATCTGGGTGGCTCAGTTGGTTAAGTGTCCGACTTTGGCTCAGGTCACCATCTCACGGTCTGTGAGTTTAAGCCCTGTGTCAGGCTAACAGCTCAGCCTGGAGCCTGCTTTGGATTCTGTCTCCTTCTCTTTCAGCCCCTCCCTCACTTGTTTCTCTCTCTCTCTCTCAAAAGTAAATAAACATTAAAAAAAATTTACATGTCTTTGTGTGTGTGTGTGTGTGCGCGCGCGCAGAAAAACGTAATATAAAGGTATATATTGACATCTACGTCTATATATTGATATCTATATACCTCCTATTGGTTGCTTCTCTGGAGAATTTTGATTAATACAGGTATTCAATAACTGCAGTTTAGACTTTAAGCGACTGACATACATCTTTGAAATTCTATGAACAGCACTAGTCAATGGGATTTAACTTATAAACTATTATCATAAACTAAAGAATTACTTCATTGAGTAATTTCATAAAAATCCAAGACCATCTTTCTATAAACACAGGAAAACAAATGATATGTTCAGATGTATTAACTAACTGCAGAATCTAATATGCATAACTGGTTTTCTTAATTAGAGTTCTTTCCCTTGCACTTGAACTTCCTCATATATGATGAAGGTTCAGAAACGTGAGGCACATGCTCAGGGTTGTTCTCCCAACGGACATAATGTGCTGGTTCAAGCCATTCTCACTATCTCTGCGTCTGGTCCTCGAGTGGCCATCAGCATCAAACTGTGTGGTATCGAGCCAGGTGAACAGCCACAGAACAGCATTTTCCCCTCAACAAGTTAACCAAGCATCCAAAATAATCCTACAGAGGACCCTGAATTCATTAGCAGTATTCTCCACTCAATTCCATCTAGACTTTAAAATTTATTCACAACAACCCACCATGTTTTCTAACATCAGAGAAAACAAATTTGTACTTTGTTTTTATTTCTTTTTGGAAAAGGTTTTTAAAACATGTTTTGGCTAACTTATGCCAACCAGAAGAAGACCTGGAATAAGAGACTGTGGCTTCAGGCAAGCTAAATATATTCTAACATACAGACTGGAATTAGTCACGGGTACATCGAAAAGAATAAACACAAATAGCTGAAAGACAGCTGACCGGAACTTATGTTAAGAGTTACCTCAGAAATGTTTTTGTCAGTTTCTTTCCTTTTTTCTTCCAATTTCCTTTCAATGCCTACAATTCCTACAGCCCTTATTCTTCCTGGCTGTGAAACAAAAGTGGAAAATAAAACATACAAAATAGGAAGGACACAGTCTTTTGCAACCCACCACAATGTGTTTTCAATGGCGGGAAAGGACCCACAAAGAACCAAAGAAAAACAGCATACAATTACATCTAGTTTCCTTTCAAAACATTTGTCAGTTTCTTGTCATACACAATGATCTTCATATCAACATTTAAAAAAACTGTATATACAATAATAAGTGGCATAATATACTGTGTATTTTAGATAGAAATAAACTCATTTTTGTTCTTTGGTAAACTATTATATAGGTGTCATATTTAATAGGGTCTCAAACGTTCAAGAAATTACGGTTAAAATTCTGGTATTTGACAGTTATTATACAAAGTACTTTCACACATTTGTTTGAGTGTCCAGAGTTGGTGGTGAATTTAGACTGGTCTGAAAAACATCACCCAGAGGCACTGTCTGTTCTCTGTGCTATACTGATTAGGAAGAACAGAAGGTAGTGAATGGAATCTAACTTCTACCACCTCAAGAATTACTCTGGTAAGTAGTCATTTATTTTTCTAAGTATCTACTGTGTGCAGAGCACTAAATTAAGTTCTGTGAAAATAAATGTTTAACCAGGGTATCATGATTTTGTTTCTTGCAAGTTCTATAATCATAGAAATCTTTTCCCTTAATGAAGATGCAAGTTCAGAACTGAAAACACTGGGTTAAAAAACAGTTTCAACAATACCTGGGGTCCTCTATTTGTTTGTAAAGCCTGGGAAACTGGCATATTCTCCCATCTTCTCTGTGTCATTTCCTCAGATAAACGCCTGTAAAACTGTTGCACACATACATACACTTTAAATGAGTCAGTCAGGTTATAGTATCCTTGTACAAATTATTACTTAACATTTTTTTAGTTGAAAGGTCTGTTCAGTCATCTGCAACAAGCCTAGAATTCTCAGAGACATCAAAAGAAACCAAAGGAAGTTCTTTTCTTGGATCAGCTTCAGAAAGCACAAAGGAAAAAAAAAGAAGAAAGAAACTGACCTTCTATATAGAGTGAGCTATTCTCAACAAAGAGATGACTGACAATGAATAAATAGACTTACTTTAAACAATCCTGCATATGTGGATTGTTTTCAATCTATAGCGAAACAGATAGAGTGCCAAGAAAAATATACAACCATTACCCGTGAAGGAAGCAGAAAATAATTTGTCTAGTTAAAATGTGAAGCCAGAAATGAGAGCCAAAATATCCCTACAGTCACAGAAAATCAACTATATTTTTTAACTACAGTGAACATGACTATATTTAGTCACTATATTTGCTTAGTGCCTACTGTGTGAGGAGCACTGGGTGAGGTGCTATAGGAAAAAAAAAACCCTATAAATAATTTAGGATATCGATGGGGGCAATAAACATACCCTTGTAAATGTCTGAGGAATACTTGTATAGTCACTTACTAATCAGAACCTGTAAAGTATCATATCATGCAGTAAGTAGGTAAGTGATTAGATCTGTGAAGTCAGCAGAGTCCGTGAAGACTGCCTGATTTAAGGCTGATGAGCTATCAGATACCAAGATAGTTTACCATTTCACTGCATTATACCAAACCACCTCCTTAACCAAACCGCTGAAAAGTTTACTAGCGGCCGAATGGCTTGACTTAGCATATTGCCAGCTTCTGCTTTTTCCTTGTGACTACACCCTCCTGCTGCTTCCTGCTCCCACTGGAACCTAAACTTCATTTTTCTACTGATAATGCTTAATCTATTAGAAAAAATTTGTTGTAAAAATATGGTGAAACCTGGTGTGTTGTATAATATGGATTTCCATCATATTAACAAACAACAAAAATACACATAAGTACACGTTTCTAGTCCAACTTTATGCATACAAAAGCTCACCTCAATCTGGCCGTGTTCTTTGAAGGAGAGTTTGATGTAGGAGTTCTTACTACTCTGGAAGGGACCAGGTTCTTTGTTAGGTGGCGCTGGGTGAAGATGAACCACTATTTTGGCACTAAGGAATAAGTGTAATGAATTTCATCACCTTTTAAGAATCACTAATTCTATTTTCATAACTTTCAATATATTTCAGTTCACTTTTAAAATTCATGTAGAACATGTTGTAAGGAATTCCTTTAAATTTTTTATTACTTCAGTATTAATGAACCTTTCAAAAAGACCTCTACTTACAATTTACAAGCTATGAACCAAAAAGTTCAAGTGACTAGTTCCATAGACGAATTAAAAAGGTGGTTTAAAAAAAAAGTTCAAAACAAGTTTGCAAAATTTGGGATAGTTTATTACTTGGTTTATGATTAGGGTTTTCCATGCAGAGTCATCCCCAGAGATTACCGGGGGGCCTATAATTTCTGCCAAAGCATACTACCTTGCTCATTTAAAAACAAAAGGTGAAAACTTATCTGTATAAAACCGGCCAGCTGACATTTTGTTAAAACTCCATCCAAAACTAACATTCTACGGTATATAATATTTGGAAAATGTCACTCAATCAACAGCATGACCTAAAAAATAATCCAACTTCAAAAGTAATTCTCAAATGCTGCTGCTCCAGAAACACAAACTACCATATCTTTATGACCACCAGTATCTTCTATGCTATTAAAATCGCCACTATGTTTGTTCAGTTTTATAAGCCTTTTATCCTCTTTTTCCCCAACCTGCTCAATAAACAATCTTCTTCCACAAATTAGCAAAACCAAAGTACTCAGTCAAAATATCTCGGATATTTAGCTTTTTGTCAAGGGAAACCCAATAAAGAGTTAAAGACTATGATAGAAAATGAAGTTTAAAAATCCCAAAGTCAGCATAAAAGATCAGGCCAGTTTTTAAGTATATTCATTTCACAGGTCATTCAATTATCATATTTCAAGTTGAAAAACCACCAAAACAAAGAAGCATCTTGGGTTATGAGATGTTTGGGGTTTTTAAAAAAAAATTTTTTAAGAGATAGAGAGCACATGCATCTGGGAGGGGCAGAGGGAGAGAGAGGAGAGAGGAGAGAGAAGAGAGGGGAGAGGCGAGAGGAGGTGGGGGGGGAGAGGGTGAGGGAGGGAGAGAAAGAGAGAGAGAGAGAGAGAGAGAGAGAGAGAATCTTAAGCAGGCTCCATGCTCAGCACAGAGCCTGACACAAGGCTCAATCCCACCACCCTGGGATCATGACCTGAGTCGAAATCAAGAATCAGATGCTCGACTGACTGAGCCATCCAGGCGCCCAGGTTATGAGATATCAAAATGTGAAACTATATATATACATCTTTGAATCAATGAAATATGGTAATTGCTTGGTGAGGAGGAGCTGAGAACTAAAGAGAATATTTGAGAAAAGTTAATCTGGCATATTATTAAGTTCTTCATTGGACATGCTTAAAAATAAGACACTAAAGGGCAAGTAAATATTTTAAATATTTTTGTTACAGTTTAGATTCCCTTGGTAGACAGCAGAAGAAAATTCAAATGATCTGGAACATCTTAAAGTTTTACTTTGTAGAACCTGAGTAATATATACAAATATTGGATCGTTGTGTTTTACACCTGAAAGTCATACAATGTTGTATGTAATTATACCTCCATTTGAAAAAGAAGCACTTAAAGAGATGGAGAAAAATGACAAGGGGAAAAACAGAAATTAGAGAAATGGCCTACTCTAAAAATCTATGTCTTTATTAATCTTTTTGAAATGTTGGTCAGTTTCTTTTATGTCAAATAAGCAATCTTTCATGCTAGCTACATTATAATTAAAGTACACACTGCATTTCCAGTGAAGGTCAACATCCACTTAAGCTCTACTGAAGTTAACTATACTAACGCTCAAGATGGGCCCCCGTGGGGTAAAAAAAATTATCAGCAATATTTGCTCATAAGCTGCCCTCAATTACATGTACTGAAAATATATACCCAGAATTTTTGATGTACTTGATTAAACAGAAACATTTTAACATGTGGCTTTAACCCAGGGTGATCACATGTCCTGGTTTGCCCAAAACAGTCCCCATTTTATGCTTCCTTGGTCCAATTAAAAACAGCACCCCTATTACTTTTATAAATGTCCCAATTTGGACAATAACTATTATGATACTTTTATTTAACACTGATATCTGAAAAAGTCAAAGTAGAGAAACTTAATGATCATCTAGAAATGGAAGTAAGGGGCACCTGGTTAGTTCAGTCGGTTAAGCGTCCAACTTCCACCTTGATCATGATCTCGTCACTCGCAAGTTTGAGCCCCAGGTGGGCTCTGTGCTGACAGCTCAGAGCCTGGAGCCTGTTGGGATTCTGTGTCTCCCTCTCTCTCTCAGTCTCTCTCTACTCCTCCCCTACTCACGTTCTTTTTCTCTCTCAAAAATAAATAAACATTAAAAAAATTTTAAAGAAAAAAGAAATGGGAGTAAAGCCAGTCATTTTTCTCAGATGAGTCCTTTCTGATTTTAAGTACTACATACACAGACATGCAAAAGCAAATGTTTGTGGAAATACATGCAATCACAGCTGGTTGACATTTATTTATTTTGACTCAAGGACATTATATAGCAAACCTCAGTACTTGATTTGTGCTTTAAGAATGACTTCCACTTATCCGTGAGTTTAATGTAGGAAAACATCGTCTTAGGGGAGTTCCTGACCAATGACTACTACTTATAAAGCCCCAAAACACAATCATTAGAGTCACTCCCACAGGGGCAGTCATGGTACAGCAATATATCTACCAGGTTAATAATAACAGCTTGACTGGAAGGAGTTTGCAAAGAAAGACTGTAGTATATACACCTCACCTTTTCCCAATTCCAGCTGCCTGTTCTTCAATGAACACAATGTGGGAAAGAGGAATGGCCATGCAGCACTCCTAGGAGGAAATCAACAGAAAATATGACTCTTAAGACTCATCAGAGGGGCACCTGGGTGGCTCAGTCGGTTAAGCGCCTTACTTCAGCTCAGGTCTCTCAGGTTCATGAGTTTGAGCCCCGCATCTGGCTCTGTGCTGTCAGCTCAGAGCCTGGAGCCTGCTTTGGATTCTTCCTTCTCTCTCTGCCCCTCCCCCACTCACATGCTGTCTCACTGTCTCTCTCTCTCTCTCTCTCTTAAAAATAAACATTAAAAGGGGCGCCTGGGTGGCTTAGTCGGTTGGGCGTCCGACTTTCGCTTGGGTCGTGGTCTCGCGATTCGTGGGTTCGAGCCCTGCGTCGGGCTCTGTGTTGACTGCCAGCTCGGAGCCTGGAGCCTGTTTCAGTCTGTGACTCCCTCTCTCTCTGACCCTCCCCTGCTCGCGCTGTCTCTCTCTCTCTCTCTCCTAGAAATAAATGAAAATATTTAAAAAAAAATAAAATAAAATAAAATAAACATTAAAAAAAAAAGACTCAACAGAAATCCTTGTTTTATAGTATTTAATACAGCATTACATACCTTTAAGGTGCTTAATAAAAACAATTTTAAAAATCATGATTTTATTCCTTAGTAAACTGAAGGAAAAACTGAATGGAAACAGTACTGTGGTGGCATTTTGCTGCATGGAAGAACACTAGAGGTTGGAAAGAAACTGTAACTAGCTTTGTTTTTTACAGTAGGCACATCTTTTTAAAAGCAATATTTGTATGAAAACATTTTATATATAATATATTCTTAAATGGAAGTCAAAAAAAGCAGAACAGGTAAATCAAAATAATCTGAAGGAGTGTGCTGTATGGGTGATTTTTTTCCCTAATATTCTATACTTCACTCATCATTTCTTCTAGAAAATACTGATGTAGCTTCCCTTCATTAGTACATTTAGTTTTAAGTTATTATAAATGACTGGCATTTAATAGTTCTAAGGGTTTCTAAATTAGCCTCTTTATTTGACAATCAAAAAACTAAACTAAGATTAATTTACAAATATATGTTTTCAGGACATCTACCCTTCCAAAAAAGGTTTCTTTCCTAAATGTACACTTCTTTTAAAAGAATTAGGCCAATTCTTTTCTAGGGTGTGCCTTTCCAACAAGGTCAATATCCCCACAAAGGGAGCAAAAACGGATTCTTGGGGGCTAAAAAGAGTCAGATTTTGCAATCGTTAGAGGCCTTTAAAGAACCTCAGTACAGTATATAGTTTGCCTATAAAATTAAAATGTCATGGTAGAGGGGGCAGCAATTATGAAAATAACACAGATTGCTTATTTTACTGACAACACTGAAATTTACATACACACACACACTTTCAATTAAAGCTCTTTAGAATAAAAATAGCTTTATACACATAACTTGTTCTCCCTGGAAATGAAAACACAGGGAGGTTTCTCCTCTTGCTGAATGACCTTGAGGCCATTCTTCTCAGTATCTAGGTAAAAGCATGTCCTTCCCAGCAGACCCATCCTCCGGATTCTCAGTCAGGAAGGTTGTTTTGAGAACCCTTGACAACAGGTGGGAGAAATACTGCCATTACACACAGAACATTCAGGTATACGGTAGGTTCTGATTGGTTTAAAAACAGAGTGACCCTGAGTCTCTCTCTATTTAGCAACTACAGATTTTTCGGAGTTGAATGAGGGACAACCCCTAACTCCTCTATCTGCACTCCATTCAGAGAGATCATATGAGACACACGCTTTGGACATTATGAAAATAGAAATTTAAAAAAATTTTTTTCATGTCTTACTATTTATTTTAGAGAGAAAGAGAGAGCAAGAGAGAGAGTGTACAAGCAGGGGAGGGGCAGAGAGAGAGAAGGAGGCTCCAGGCTCTGAGCTGTCAGCATAGAGCCCAACTTGGAGCCACAACTCACGGGCTGTGAGATCATGACCTGAGCAAAAGTCAGATGCTTAACTGACTGAGCCACCCAGGTGCTCCGTGAAAATGGAAATTTATTGCATCTATTTAGCTTTGACAGAAAGAAAGAGAGAGAGAGAGAGAGAGACAGAGAGACTTCAGGGATTTAAAACCTAGAATAGATTAAAAAAACCAAAAATACCATTATCTTACATGATTTTTCTGATCTCTCCAAATCAGTCGATGTGTACTAAGAAGGAGGGTCCCAGCATCAAATTTTATCTAGAAAGACAAGATCACAAAATATTAATGATATATCACTCAATTCATTCCAGGTCTTTTTCCTCGTGAATTACACAAAAGTACATCAATCATATAAATAAACACTTGAGAATTAGGCTTACCACAAATTAAGGAGAAGCAATGCTACACACTTCATAAGCTATATATATACAGCCCCGATAAAATTAGGAAAAAATTGCAAACAACCAAATGAGCAACAAGAGGGTAGTAGTTAAATCAAGTATGATACATTCATACTGTGGGGTCCAAGCAGAGGTTACAAAGAATGAAGTATAGCTGTATGGACTATCACAGAATTGTAGGACAGAGTTAGTGGGGAAAGAAAGACATTTATAGCATATTACATACAATGTAATCAGACAGAAATAGAGATAACCTCCATATCCCCTAAACTACATGTGAGAGACACACATGCACACACACACACATACACACACACACGCACGCACACACACACACATGCACAGGTAGTAAAAAAAAAAAAAAAGATATAAATGAAATACACAGTGGTCCGTTAACAATGATTATCTTGAAAGAGTGAGGAAATGGGAAGAAGAGAAACCAAGACCTCCTTTTTAAAACTAGCCAATTCATTACTGAATTTTTTACCATGAGATTGGATTTGTATATAACACTTATATAATTTTTAAAATGATTTTTAAATAATAAGAAAATAGACACAAACATACAAAATTAATGTGGCTGGAGAGGCAATCAGTGGCACTGGGACAACCGGGTTCCCCAGGAGAAAAATAATGATGATGATGATGATAACGTTGGACTTATACCTAATATACTTTACCAAACTAAAGTCTAGATCAAATATTAAAGTTAAAAAAAAAAACTCCACACACACATGCACACAAATTCCTCGTGGCAAAAAACACCAAGGGCAAGATGGCAGACTGGGGAAAATAACTATAACTCACATCAGAGACAAAGGGCTAATTTCCTTAACATACAAAGCGCTCTCACAAATCACTTTTTAAAAATAGCCTGTAATCCATTAGAGAAATGGGCAAAGACTATTAACAGAAAGTTCACATAAAAGGAACTACATTGACTCTTTAAAAAAATTTTTTTTAAATGTTTTATTTATTTCTGAGAGAGAGAGAGAGACAGCGTGAGCAGGGGAGGGTCAGAGAGAGAGGGAGACACAGAATCTGAAGCAGGATCCAGACTCTGAGCTGGCAGTCAGCACGGAGCCCGACGCGGGGCTCGAACCCACGAACCGTGAGATCATGACCTGAGCTGAAGTCGGACGCTTAACTGACTGAGCCACCCAGGTGCCCCACTACACTGACTCTTCAACACATTAATAGATGCCCCACTTCAAAGATAACAGGAAAAATGCAAATTAAGAGAACATCAGGGCACTCCTTCACCCAGGAGATGGGCAGAGGTCCAGAAGCTTGATAGCAGCATGTAGGTGAAGCATTAAGGAAATAAGCACTTGCACACCTTCTTGGAGGGACAACCTCTACGGAGAGCAATAGATTATTATCTATCAGAAATACAAATACACATATCCTTTGATCCAATTTATCCTACAGATGAATCCATACATGTGCATAATCATACACTACTAGGCTATCCACTGCTGTTTGTGAAAAGTAAAATATAGGAAATAAGTTAAATGACCATCAACAGAGAAATGTACATCTACACAATGAATTACTACCCAGTCATTAAAAAGAAATCAGGAGACTCTATCTTCATAATGTATTTGACAAAATCTAAGATGCCACTGATTACAAAATGCATCCTGATTCTGGTTGTTAAAATGTGTGTGTGTGGGGGTGGACATTTAGAATAGATGAAATATGGTAGATTGTCCACATAGATTAAGTGAAAACAGCAAGATTCAGAACTCTGTATGCATATTACAAATTTACATCTTAAAAAAGGAAACAATTTACTTTATACAAATACCTGTGCGTGACACACATTCACAGCTCTTTAGCACGATGCACTGGTGGCCTCTGAGGGGGAACTGAGTAGCAAAGAAACAAGGTGAAAGGGAGACTTTTAACTTTATATGTTTTGTGGTTTTTGAATTTTTGTCATGGGATTGTATCCTCTACTCAAACTATAATATAAAAAATGTTTTGAAAAACTGTAACACAAGGGCGCCCAAGTGGCTCAGTCAGTTAAGCATCTGACTCATGATGTTGTCTCAGGTCATGAGCTCACGGTTAGTGAGTTCGAGCCCCACATGGGGCTTGCTGCTGTCAGGGAGGCGCCCACTTGGAACACTCTGTCCTCCTCTCTCTACCTCCCCTCCTCTTTCTTCTCTCTCCCTCAAAAATAAACGTGAAAAAAGGAAATTTTAAAACCTCTTTTTTGTCAATGAGTAAGATTTCCCTTTCCCCAAAGCAAGTACTTTATCAACTTGAGAGTACATGGTGCTACCTTACAGCATAATAGTTCTGATGAAGCAAATGCACTTTTCTCTCACTGAAATTCTGCATAAAGGATGCAAATTTAAAGCTGAAGGCAGAAATATATTCCATTCCTACGTCAATTAACAATATGCAAATGTAAAATGCTGATGTTCCAAGTGGAGAAATTGTGTAAGAGTTCCCTTCAGGGATTCCAAGGGATTATGAGCTAAACCTGATAGGCAAGTTTAGGCTGGTCTGCTCCTGCCCCTCAGAGCTAGAACAATTTTTAACTACTTCCAAGTTGATCTAACTTAGGCATTTGCTGGATAAGCTCTTACCCTGTGTTGTTTTGCTTTGCTCTGACATTTTTCTGTTATAAAAGTAATACAGTGTAGAAAATCTGGAAAAAAAATGTAAGTCTGAAAAAGAAAATGAAATCACTCTAATCATAACAGCCAGAGTGTGTGTGTATGTGTGTGCATGTGTGAATAATCTTAAACCATTATATTTATAGTTGTATAACTAGCTTTTTTCAGTTAGTAGCCTCTCATTAGCAATTCTCATGCCGATTAAGCCATGTCCTATTCAATTCACAAAACCCTACGGTGGTCACTCAGATTGCTTCCAATTTTCCCTCTACGTAATAATATATAATATATAAAATAATGCTGAGATGAGTATCCTCATTCATTATTATTTTTATGCATCTCTGATTACTTCCCAAGGGTAAATCCCTAAAAGTCAAACAGCTGGCTGAAAGAAAATAAACGTTTTCTAAGTCTCCCAGTATAGGCTGCCAACTTTCCACTTTAAATACTACTGAACCTGCTTTCATTTTTAAATTCGCTGAGGCTACAGAAGCTTCTGTGAATTTAAACAAATGACCTGTCTATGCTGCTTAAGAAAACACACTATGTGGTCATAATGGGCCCATGAAAACTGTGCCTGTAGAAACAGGCAGGCGCTCATTTATTCACAGGAGACGCTTGGGCAGTGGGAAGGGCACAGTCTACTCTAGGTGTGTCACCTCAGCCGGGTCACAGTTTTCTTAATTGCCAACTGAGTGTCCTCATCTTTGGGAGGAGTCACTCTACGAAACATTACAGAAAGAGTCTGGCACTGGTGACTGCTCTATTCGTGAAGCGTAGCACAGTGGACGAGGCAGAGCCTCTGGGAGTCTGATCAATAGAGAGAGTGGGCAAGTCACTTTCTAAGACTTATTTTCTCATCCATAAAATGTTCCCCTCATATCCCAGTAATAGGAGTAAATGAGATTGTACATGAAGCTCCTGGCACATAGTAGGCACTTCAATTATTCAGGTCTTTTTTTCCCCCCCCATGTATTTCACGCCTACAATGAGCCAAAAGGTACAAGGATGAGTAAGGCACACTCTCTGCCTTCCAGGAGCGTCCACCGGGTCTGTAAGATGGCCAGGTGCATGCCCGCCTGAGGAATGCATTGGGATGCAAAGCTATGAAGGCCAAGTAGTCTGGTCTGGGATGCCCTAGACCCAGGCGGCCAGTGAAAGATATGAAAGGGAACTTGACCAGATCTGGAGGGTGATATGGAGCTTCCTAGAGTCTTCAGACTCCAGGAGGTCTGGAAGCCTTCCAGCAGACGGAGGAAGCCAGGACATGGGGCTTTCCCCTCGGAATCAGTGTGGCCCTCAGTCACACTGGGGACACCTCAGCAAGTGATCATTAGATGCAGCTCGGGGACCACAGTGGTGACCAAGCTTGTCTTAGAGCTCCGCGTCAATTTCAGGACACCCACATCCTTCCCTCACCGCCCCCAGCTTTTACAACAGCTAAGAATTCTTGGGGAGATCAAAGGATCTTAACTAAATTTTTCCCAATACTTTTTTTATGAATCCTCTGATAACTATATCTACTTGTCCGTTAAAATAGGCAAAAAACTTAACGGAAACCCTAGAATTCATTGATTGAGCAATGGTTTTTCATACACGGGTACTAATGGTGTTGACTTTTTATTGTCTTAAATAGACATGCTTGTATCATGTGCCAGGCAAGATGTTCCTAATTTGCACACTGGAATTACACAGAACAACAGAGTGCGGTGCTCTGCAAAAGTGTGACTTCCAGCACGGACTGTCTTTCGCTGAGTTTCTGAAGACCAATCTATCACTGTCAGCATTCAGGTCTGAGAGGGAGGCATGAACCAGCTGTGGGAGGGGATTTGATTAGGCTTCCTATTGAAAACAGGTCCAAGGGTGTAACCTTCGTTCAAAACATTTAGCTCGTCACTCCAACCAAGAGATGCAAACCCAATTGAGATCAAATTAACAACAGTGCTGAGGCAGGAAATGGAGTAAAACCAAGCAAGTTATTTAAGAAATAGGCCCTGACTTGAGAAGGGAAGCGGTTCTGTACGTGGAAAATGTCCTCAGGGAGGCAGAGCACCTATGTCAGCTGTGCCTGTAGACAGCTGGGTAACCCCTGCCCTCAGTGACCTAGAAGGAAGGAAGAAGCCTCAGGCTTCTGCAAGCACCGACCAGGAAACGCTATGAGTCAAGGAACAAAACGCAAAAGGACAGAAGGAAGTTTCATTAATAAAACCACGAAGAAGGAAAGATGGCAAGTGAAAACTTCTGGAAACTAAAAATCCTGGTGAATAAGCGGGTTTTTAAATATGTTCTGATTCCAGCTTATACAATTCATCCAAGAACAGGTTAGTAGTTTGGTAACAGCCAACCCCGCCCCCTAACCGGTCTCAAGCCTTCACTCTTTGCTTGCTGACCAAAGTCCCCTGGTGTGTGGCGGAACCAACCCACTTCCCTTGAGACCTGCGGACCCCTGGAGCAGGGGAGTGAAGGGGCAGACCCCCCAGAAGATAAGGCCTGGCTGCACTGGCAAACAGCTGCGGCTGATGCCGGCAAGTCTGATGTTCAGGGTCACGTCCACCCCGGACTAACCGCCAGGGCACCTGCTTCCCCTGCACGGAGCGCCCCCTCCCCCCAGCCTTCCCCTTTAAATCCTTCCGGCTCTGCCCCGACAGGGAGGACAGTCTTCGGGACGTCTGTCCACCGTCTTCCCGGGCCGCCCGCCTCCCGAGGAAAGCAGCCTCCCCCGGCCCCCGGCGCGCGTCTCCGGAGTGCGGATGTGCCCGCGGGCGCAGCGCGGGCCGCGCCGGAGCCCCTTCCTCGGGCGGAAACAGTCGGACGCAAGTCCCCCTGGGCGCTCACGCCGGGCTGGTCACACTCGTCGCGGTCGGCACGCGCCTCTCCGGAGGTTTACGCCCGGGGGACACGGCATGGCCTACCACATCGCCTTACAAAACACACGCTCTGGACCCTTCCTTAAGTCACTCCAGGAAACGGGGGGGAGGGGAAAGGCGACCAGCGAGACGCGGACACGCTTCTCAGAAAGCCCTGCAGCGCCCTCCCTGCCGCTCGCCGGGCCAGACCGCACGCCCGCCGGCCGCACCCCGGCTCGGGGAGGCACCCCGGCCGGCGAGCCCGACAAAGGCCGCGGCAGCCCGGCGCGACCCGGGCCCGAGGGACAGGCACCCGGCCAGCCGTCGGCCGTCCCCGTCGCTGCCGGAGCGCGGCCGCCCGAGCGCCGCGGCATGCGGACCCGGCACCCGGGCCGGGGCCCCTCAGGCCGGCCAGACCGCGCGCCCGTCCCCGAGGCCGCCTCTACCTTCTCCTCGCCGTCGTAGATGCGCACGCCGCGCTGCTGGATCACCAGCGTCTCGTTGATCTCCAGGAGGCCGCTGGTCCACACGAAGCGGTCCATGGCCGCCGCCAGGCCGGCCTCCGCCGCTCGCCCGCGCCGGCGCTCCGGGGCCGCGAGCCGCGCGCTGGGTCGCCTGCCGCGCCCCCTGGCGGCGGGCGGGGCGGAGGCGGGCAGGGAGGGAGGGTGTCCCGGGAACCTGGGGGCGTGCGTGGAGCGCCCCCTGGCGGTCGGTCAGCCGGCGGCCCGGCGGGGTCGTCCCCTCCCTGTCCAGCCCGGGCACGAACCCGCAGCTTGCAAGGGGTTTTGAGGAAGGCCAGGACGCAGCTTGGACTTCCTTATTGTGCATTATTCCTGCGTATTTGTGCCGTTTTCTTGTCTCTGCCCAACGTGTTGCCGCGTTCATCAAAGGCTGTAAATAATAACACTGGAACTTTTCTTTCCAAATGAAGATTTGTGGCCTGAACTCTTTTCTACACAGCGGCAATCAGTATGGAAGTACTATATTGGGCCCCCCAATCCTTCCCATTAAAACCGTTTTCATTTAGGGGTGCCTGACTGGCTCCGTTGATAAAGCATGTGACTCTGGATCTCAGGGTGGTGAGTTCACGCTCCACATCAGAGCAGAGTCTACTTAAAAAAAAAAAAAAAAGATCATATTCATTTAAACATTTTCAATATCATGAATTTACTCCAGACAATATTTTAATATGTACATCTTCCGGGTCCCCACAAACTGCCACTGTTCCCACCTGCAAATATAAAATTTGCACCTATATTTGTATTATATTTGTACAAACTGCCACTGCTCCCGCCTGCAATTATAAAAATGGAGCATCTATATTTGTACTGCTACAACGGATATATTTTTTGGCTTTTGGGATTATTTTCTTAGTGTGTCTTCCCAAAATAGAATTCTTGGTTTAAAAAGTTGGGTCGTATTGGGGACTTATTTAACCAGGATGCAGTGCCAACAGCAAATTGGTCTTTTTCTCAGGCCAAGTAGCTCTGTGTACACTAGACGTTATCATTTTTGGTTTATTTGCTACTTGACAGTGATTTTATTCTTTTTATTTACTGATGAGGCTATTTCTCAACACCTTTTTTAAAAAAAAAATACCTTTTAATCAAAAGAAAATCCTTGTCCTGAAGAATGGCTAACACCATCTGAAGTTGGACAGCCTCCACTTAAGAGGATAGGATTGTTAATTTAGACCAAATTAAACTGGTTGGGAGAAGAAGGGGCACAGAGGAGGAGATGGAGAAGGAGCTGCTAGTGAGATAGGAATTCAGACAGGAGAAGGTGGTGCCCTGGAAGCCAAGTCAAGACAGCATATCAGGGAGAAGGAAAGAGCAGGTGTACAATTCTGCTCACGGGTCAAGACCATGGGAGTGAAGATGGCTCACTGCTTTTACCATGTGGAGTTATTGGTGACCTTGACGAGAGTGAGGGCAATGGAGGGCTGCAGAGCAAGCCCTAATGGAGCGGTCTTCAAGGAGAAAAAGAGGAGAGGAACTGTAGATAGGGAATAGAGACAACTCCCTTGAGGACTTTGCTGCAAAGGAGAGCGAAGAAATGGGTCGGTAATAGGCAGAGTGAGGTTTAGAAATTTGGATTGTTTGTTTGTTTGTGTTCCAGGTAGAAAAATACAATAGTGCGTCTGAATGCTGATAGCAGTGACTGAGGCAAAGCATTGGGTAAGACGCAAGACAGAGGGATGTGCTTGAGTGATGTCCCGGAGGAGATGAGAGACAATGCACAGGAGAGGGTCAGAGACATTTCTATTATCAGAGGAGAGCAGGGTATGTGAGCAGAGAGATTTTGTGGTGGGAGTCTGAAAAAATTCTCTGGGCTGGTTCAGTTTTCTCAGAGGAGGAAGCAAGACTGGAAGAGGTGGTTGAGGTGCGAGGAGGTACAAGCACACACCTAAGGATACTACAATTGCCTGGCCCGCTTGAAGTTTCCTAACATGCGATTAAAGTGAAGCTAGAGGAGCAATACTGCAGCCCCACTCGGGGGCAAAACCTAATGGGAGAGTAGGAAAGACACAGATTTGATTCGGCATGGGGTTTTGCCACACCATGGATCGAAAGAGGCACCGAAGGATAAGCAAGCCCAGTACTAGACTACTTCGTTCTTTGTAAGAGAGCTGTGCTGTCTGGAAGCTGTAAGAGTTTCTCATTCTCGGATCAAGAAGATGTGGTTCATCTATACGATGGAATACTCCGTGGCAATGAGAAAGAATGAAACCTGGCCATGTGTAGCAACATGGATGGACCTTGAGGGTGTTACGCTGAGCGAAATAAGTCAGGCAAAGAAGGACAAATACCATATGTTTGCATGTATAGGAGGACTAGGAGGAACTTAACGAAGGACTGTGGGGGAGAAGAAGGGGGGAATTAGTGGGGGAGACGGGGAGAGGCAAACCATGAGAGACTCTTGAATGCTGAGAACAAACTGAGGACTCATGGGTGTGGGGGGGGTAGGGGGGAGATGGGCATGGAGGAGGGCACTTGTGGGGATGAGCCCTGGGTGTTATATGGAAACCAACTTGACAATAAACTATTTGTAAAAAATTAAAAGAAAAAAAAGTTTCTCATTCTCCCTGAGGTCCAGAAATTTCACCAGGTCAAAGATTGTGGGTCTGTATCCCTTTTCATTGTCCTGCCTGTGAGATGATGGTCCTTTTCAATTTGAAGACTCAAGTTCCTGTCCCCTTTGGGAAAGTGTGCCTCTATTATATCTTTGATTACTTCTGGTCTCTGTGTTCTGTTTTTGGCCCCTCTAGGACCTTTGGTTATTTGCGTATTTTAGACCTGTCGGAACTGTTTCCCATAGGCCCTACCTTAACCCTCATCATGTTCATTTCTATATCTTTTGGGGCTACATTTGTGTTAACAGTGACCACTCATTTTTCCAATTCTTCTGTTGAATTTTTTTAATTGGGACTTTTTTTTTTAATGTTTTATTTATTTCTAGGAGAGACAGTGTGAGCAGGGGAGGGTCAGAGAGAGAGGGAGTCACAGACTGAAACAGGCTCCAGGCTCTGAGCTGGCAGTCAGCACAGAGCCCGACGCGGGGCTCGAACCCACAAACCGCAAGATCATGACCTAAGCGAAAGTCGGAAAGTCGGACGCTTAACCGACTAAGCCACCCAGGCGCCCCTGGGACTTTTTTTTTAGTTCCAGAATTTTTAGTTCTTGAAACACTAGAATGTTCCGATCATATCTACACAGAATTCTCACTGCATTTTCAATAAAGTTTTCTTCTGTGACGTCCCTGAGTTCACACTCCACAGTAGCCTCCTATCCTAATTCATCTTGTTCCTTCCTTAAGCTGCTGTTTCCTTAAGTGTCTCATAATCACTTTTGCTTTTCTGGATCTGTGAGCTCTCCTAGTGCCTGTGCAAGGCAGCCTATTGGGATCTCACCTGGCAAGGACTGACAGGTGGTTTTTCCCAGGAGACCATAGGCAAGTAGGTCAGTAAGTTGAGAACATCTCCTTGGAGTCCTTTCAAGACAGGCTTCTCTGTCCTCAGCCTACTCACTCATTAAACAAGAACTCAGAAAATACTCGTTAAAGACCTGCTATGTGTTAGGCGCCGTTGAATTGCTCTCCAGTGTTGCTGGCCAGAGAAGCCACTGGTTTCTCCCAAGCTGGGCAGGGCTGGCACTCAGGTAAGGGGAGGGAGGCCCTCCTCTCAGGTGCAAATCTTAAGGAGGTGACACAAGAATTCAGTGATCAAGAAAAATGATATTTTAAAGAAATATGTTTGGTTTTGTAAATTCCTGTTTCTTAACTGACTATATTGACCGTGCTGTCCCTTGTATTCCCGTGACTTATTCATTCCATAATTGGAAGCCTGTGTCACCCATTTTGCCCTTCCCCCCCATCTTCTTCCCCTCTGGCAACCATCAGCTTGTTCTCTGTACTTATGGGTCTCTTTCTGCTTTTTATTTATTCATTTATTTTGTTTTTTGGATTCCACATGAGTGAAATCATGTGGTATTTGTCTTTGATTTGTCATCATGATGTTAGCATCATGCCTTCTATATCCATCCATGTCATCACAAACGGTAAGGATCTCAACCTTTTTTATGGTTGAGTAATACTCTTTGTGTATATATACCACCTCTTCTTTATCCATTTGACCATCGATGGACACTTGGGCTGCCTCCATACCGTGGCTATTATAATTAATACTGCAATAGACTTAGAGATGCATATATCTTTTTGAATTAGTGTTTTCACTTTCTTTGGGTAAATACCCAGTAGTGGAGTTACTGGATCATATGGTAGTTCTACTTCTGGTTTTTTGAGGAAGCTCCATACTGTTTTCCACAGGGGCTGCATGAATTTGGACTCCCACCAAAGTGTATGAGGGTTCCTTTTTCTCCACAGTCTCACTAACACATGTTGTCATCTTGAATGTAGCCATTCTGAAAGGCATAAGGTGATGTCTCATTGTCTCATTAATTTGCACTTTCCCAATGGTCAGTGACGTTGAATGTCTTTTCCTGTGTCTGCTGGCCATCTGTATATCTTCTTTGGAACAATGCCTATTTAGGTCCTCTGCCCATTATAATTGGGTTATTTGTTTTCAAGGGGTTCAGTTGTATAAGTTCAAGTTCTTTATATATTTTGGTATTAACCCTTTATTATCAGATATATCATTTGCAAATAACCTCTCCCATTCAGTAGGTTGCTTTTTTGTGTTGTTGATGGTATCATTTGCTGTCCAAAAGCTTTTTATTTTGGTGTAGCAAAAAGCAATATGCTTTTTTTTAAATCAAAATTAATTTTAAAAACCTATGATAAACTAAATATTCATTTTAAATAAAGGAAACATCAACAGGTCAGGATTAGGGCAAGGAGACTGAAGCCAAGCCATGCATGTGAGGGCACTTGCCTTCCCCTGGTCCATTCTTCAAGTCCCAAAGCCGCATGCCAGCCCATGTGGCAGAAGGGTGGAGGGATGACTCCCTCTCTGTTCATGGCTCTGCATCTCCCCTCATCATGGAGTCACTGCTCTGGAGCAGAATTTCTATAAGAAAGGTAAGACTCTAGGGGCGCCTGGGTGGCTCAGTCAGTTAAGCATCTGACTTTGGCTCAGGTCATGATCTCATGGT